ATTATCCTGCCTGGCTAGCTTGCCAGCAAGCCATCTATTTCGCTTGCCAGTTGCCTGGCCCTGTACCTGCATACCTACCTACCTACCTACCTACCTACCTACCTACCTACCTACCTACCTACCTACCTTCCTGCCTACCTACCTACCTACCTACCTACCTACCTACCTACCTACCTACCTACCTACCTACCTACCTACCTACCTACCTACCTACCGACGACGACGACGACGACCTCTGCTACTACTCTTACTGTTGTTTTTTTGTGATTTCTAGCACTTGTTTGTTACTACCTCTTTTACTGTTACCATACTGCCACGACTACTCCACTCGCATTCTTGTTGGTAGTACGCCTGCTGGCACCCGCAACACATGCCTTGGCATTGCCAGGCCAGGGCTCAGGAAAGCAAAGCGGCCGCCGGGGACCTGATTTTTGCTCTTGGGGAGCTTGCTTGCGGGCCTCGTAGGGTCTGCCGGGCTTGAGGCTTCCACGGTTTGGGGGTTTGGGCCCTGCGACGTGCGCATGAGAACGAAGCAATTACTTTGAAGGTATTTGCAGTAGAGCTCCGGACTCACCTCAACCTTATTTGGCTTCGTGTTTGCCGGTCTCTGTCAAGGCGGGGCACTCTACATCAAGACCTCTCTTGCCAGCCTGCCTGTGTAGCCCATATCCGAGACGCTCAAGCCCCAAGTGCAAAGACTCGAACCTTGACACCCTTAAATGAAACACTAGCCTTCAAAACCCTACAGAACTTAATTCCTGTAACACATTTGGAGATCTTAGACCTCTTTAGCAATGATGCAGCACTTCTCGGGACGCCTTTGGCATTTAAGGCCAGTGCCCGCCTTTGCGCTCAAGTTCAAGCCTCAGGGATGTCAAGGACACCATGTCAATTCTATGGCTTGCTCTTGCTAGGGTTGTGTGTGCGTGTAACTTCTCGTTCAAATCAGCATTGAGATCAGTTTTGCTGTGGTAGTTTGTCTAAATTTATTGGGACGCCTATGACGTTGGACACGGGCGATTCGTGATTTTTCAACTCTATGGGAGGGAACGATGACGACGGTGATGATGAGTGTTTTACATTTGTAGTGCTATTAACTTATCGGATGGTTGTATGCCAGGCCCATCATATTCTAGTATGATTGCACTAAAGTGCAAGTATATTGTAGTGTCATTATGTTACAGTCCTATGATCTCATAGTATCATTATGTCATAGCACCTTTTGCTACAGTAGTCTTATAGTGTAGTACCATGGTGTCTCATCATAGTATCCTAAAATCATGGGGTGCTTATGTAGGGCCTTAAAGCCTATTAATAATTTTGAATATAGGATTTGGCTATATATGTACAATGCGGACGATACGGCGGCGGGGGTCCGATTACCACGTTCAGATTCCTATGGAAGGGTTGGCTTCCTGAGGCCACCTGAGCCCGAGCCGCCCTGGGCTCAGGAAAAGGGGGTTACACGGTTGCACGTATAGTTATAACCACAACCATCGGTACCTTAGTTCCAGTAGCTTCACCACAGTTTTATGCTTTGTTATCGTCACCACCAGCACACAGACCATCGGCACCAACCGCATATCGTCTCCATCACACCCGCCTCATGGTCCTGGTGACGGTGAATATATCGACTTCGGCAGAGCATGTTTATCGGCGGAGTTGCAGTGCACATCATTCGTACAAATGCTATACACTCTTGGCAGCTGCATGTTGCCAACTCCAGTGCCTGCATTGTTGGTTACCAAAAGGCTGGTATCACATGGAAAGTTCGGCTTGAAATTGTTAGCAACGACGCAAGAGCTGCCTGCATCATGGTTACTAGTCTTCACTGTCTACAGTGCATGCGGCTATGTGGTTCTATCGCTTTAGGCGATGCTTCAGCGACTACTAGCAACAGAAGATAGATGCAGTGTCGGTTGCAGAGGTGTGGCGCCTTCTCTCAGCCATATGTCGTCAAGTGCATCCGTGAATGAGCACAGTTGAGGTGGCAATTGCTGCGGCAAATTCAGCTGTCGCGGACTCAATGCAGGGTGAAACCAGGGCCAGGGCGTGCATAGTTTTTTCCGAGCTCAGTCGTGCAGCGTTTCTGATTCCACAGCATACCTAACGTCTGAGAAGTCGGAAACCGGAAGGTCAGGAACACTTGCCCAAGCCAACCCCCATCATGCCACCCTTTCTAAGTCCGGCATCCGAGACTGTCTGTCGGCCTGTGACCCAGGCCTGACAAAAAGGAGGAAGAAAACTACGAGCAGGGAGCCACGGAGAGTGTCTCGAGCCAGGGCTTTTGCACGGCAAGCAGGCATAGAGTCTGCGAAGTCTAGCTTAGTCTTGCTTCTCACCTTGTGGTGGCTCTTCGCGTTCATCAGCCTACGGCGAGTGCATGGGAAGGGCTCGCAAGGGTTGTTCAGTCTACGGCCTGCAGAATGCCGGCGGTTTTCAAGAACTACCGACACAATGGAAAGGAAATGAGTAGCCAAGACTAAGAGTATTATAGCATGATAAGCCCTAAGAGCGGCATGTAAAGCCCTCGAGAAGCGACTAGACGTCCTAGCTCCCCAAGAGTCGACACCCGGAATCCCAGACCTCACAGAGCCCGGTCACTCCGGCACCGAGGATTTCAGAGAAGGGATCGAACTCCGAGGCTTCGGGAGTGGGGAGTTGGACTTGTAGCATTGTAGCTTCCAGAGTGTTCTTTTTATAGTTTGTTACAGTGCACTATAATTCTATAATATACTATAGTATACAATTTAGTATAATGTATCATGAAATATACCATAATTGGTATAAGTACTATAATTGCTACAATATACAAGTCAGTGTATAATGTATTATAGACTATACTATGATATAATCCCTTAGCACCTCTGATGCGGAGTCCTGCGGGGTGTGGGTTTTCCGGAGGTTTAGGGTTTGGGGGCTTTCCGGGTGTAATCCATGAAGGAGCCAGCGAGGCTTCTTCCTGCCGCAGTGTCCTTGGCAGCGGATACAGATGCAGTCCATGGTTTAGGGTTTAGCGTTTCCATGCATTACCAGGTGTTGTGTGTCCGCGCAGTGTGATGTCCAATGGAGCTGCAGTCGATGCAAGCGTCGGTGCAGGGAAATTTCCAGGATTTGCAAGGCGGCTTCTGGGCCAGATCAGGCCGAGCCGTCTGGAGCAGGGTGCAGCTCAGCAGCTCCAGGCAGCACAGCCAACTGCTCAATTTGCGGCGTACGCCATGACCTCACAAGAAGAGTTCGGACTGCCGAACCGTGAAGTTCTCGACAAGCGCGTGCCGCAGTGGAATTAAATCCATATAGGGTTGCAAATCCGCGCATAGGCTGAGCCAGCTGCCTCAAGGCTGGCATGTACCCCTGGCAATCTCCAACTCTCCATGTTGGGTCTCGCATTTCCCTTCAAGCCTGCTGGACATGCGCGGTCGTGCAGTTGGCTGCATGCCGCCGCATGTCCAGCAACTTCGGGCTGACGCAAGCAAGCCCCACTGAAAAGGGCACGCCCACTTCCCTTGGAGTGAGCGCAGCAAAACAACCCACGGAGACACGCAGAAAAGAACAACCATATTGCCAAAAAGAAGAAGCTGTAAGGGCAAGAGGTGGACGTGGCCCGCCGGGAAAGCCGCCCCTTCCTAGCGTGCCAAAGATCATGATTGCAGCACTTCACCTTTATCACAAGACTCAAACACCCAAATCTTCCTGCCATGGTTTATGACCATTGTTAGTACTGCGATTCTTATTTTTGTACTGTAATGATCTCGATCGGCGACCCTTTCCTGCACTCGGCGTGACGGTCACTGACTGCTCCTTTAGGCCTTTAGGGCCTCCCCTGTCTCAGCGCAGCCCTCTTCCGATTCCCCGAAGCTTGTTCCCAAGTCTTTATGGTTTCGATCGCGACAAACGAGGAACGGTTTTGTGGATGAGGGCGGGGTTCATGGGAGCACATTCAAGGTGTCACTTTTGGGTTTAGGTTTGAGCTTGGGCTTCATGTGCCTTGCTCCAGGACAACACCCACAAGCACAGCAGTGCTATGATATAGTTCCATTGCATTCTGAACCCAGCAAGCCTGGTACTTACTGCATTTTGTTGTTCCTGTCGAGTGTTGCCGAATTGTTGTTCTTCCGTGTTCCGATGTCTCTTCGAGGGTGCAAGGATGTCTAAGCTTTCGAGCAATTTTCCAGCTTGCTGCTGCAGGCTGAGGAGGAGCCCGATCGAAGCCACAAGCGGACTCCCGTCCGGGGCCCTGTCTCTGGGTGTTATTATTCCGCAACTAGGTCGAGAAGAGTGTTCTTGTGTTTGTTTATGTCAAGGTGTGATCGTAAGGCTAATCACAGTAGCAGCAGTGATTCATGTCTCTGACTTCTTCATGCACGAAGTTCTCTGAACAGAACGGTGGCCATGGGTATGTGAAGGACACTACTAGTATTAATGGGACTTGTGTTTTCGTCTCCATGCCAAGTGTTGGGTGTGTTTCTCAAGCTGGTTTGGCATATCTGGGCCGAAACCACAACTTGTCTGCAGAGTCGAGTGAGTTTGGTTTTCGGCTGAAAGATGTTATGCAGAATCAGACCCGGGCAGTGGCTATGAAAACCCGCCAAGCGCCGGAAGCGCCCTCAGCTAATTCAAGCAGTTGCTTCCCTGAGCTGCCATAAACCCACAGTTTTGCAGTGCCCAAAATTTGCACCGTATTGCAGGAATCATACGAAACAGTAGGTTCTGGTAGGCTTAAGCTTCTGCAGACGATCGCAGCCGGAGGACTGGAGCCTAAAGTTCCTGGAGCTTCTGGAGACCCAAGCAGGCAAGCAGTCATTGAATACCAAATAGTGGTGGTAATAGTAATGATAGGGTAATAAGATGTTAAGAATAGTAATAGTAGCCGACATGATGATAGCAATGTAATCGTAGTAATGGTAATATTAATAGTGCTAATCAGAGTAGATCATTGTCGACATGCAGTAGTCATATTGCTTGCCAGTTCCCAGCTGATGCGGGATCCCAGCCTGGGTTCAGAAAGTAAGAACACAAATAAAGATAATGATTGTAGTACTCATTGCAACAAGTTCTCGCTCATGATCATGGTCGTCTTCTTACCTGCAGGTGGGTCTTCTGTGGGGTGTAGTGCCTGTTGCTGTTGGTGAAGAGTCCATATCTCTGAACCTTCCCCGTGGCATCCGACCACTCCCCAGACATCGACGCCGACACCATTTTCGGTAGCCGAGCCGGGGCCTTACAGCGACGAAGAATATCAGATGAGGAAGTTTGACTGCGATAGCCCCTAGCCCTTGCATGCAATGGATGGCCGCCATATGAGAAGGCGTGCTCACATGCGACAGTTGTGATGTCATGCTTTGCCGGCGATGGTCAATTTTGGAGAGTCTTCCAACTGTTGCGATTTGCCAAGCCAAGTCGTCGTGGCACCGGCGATTCCGAAACTCGCAAGCGTGACTTCCTGGAGGGGTTCAGAAGTTCCGAAGCAGCCTTCCATCACCTTCGACGGTTGGAAAGACCCACTCAGCCGCTCAAAGTGGAAAGACTCACTCAGCCACTCAAAGTGAAGGTAGGAAGCCTACGACAGTAGGGTTTTGGGATGTCTGACCTCGCAGAAGACTCCCAGGTGCCCCGCTGTGTCCTGGAGGAGATTTTCACCGACCGGGACTACTTGAGGCGAAGGGTTCGGGTTTCAAAACACTGGTAGCTTTGCAGGGCTTGAACGAGAAAATTGTGAGGGTTTAGTGGTATGAATCTTCTGCATTTTCGTGGGTAGTACCCGCAGCGAGACTGAACTCCCGCCGGCTTCGTATTTTGAGGCTGTACAGGGTCACTGAGGATCACTGGGCAGGTGTATCCTTACATGTTTATGTACACAGATCTACAATTACATATATATATATACACATATTTGTTTGTTTATTTAGTTACATACATGTACATACATAGGTACATGCACACATACACCTCACATCATCGAGCAATTGCTGTTAAAGCGGAAACTTGTTTGTGTAGTTCCTGTTGGTACAAGTTGAACACTTCATCCTGTACGTGTATGAAACACTTCAACGGGAGTTTGATCTAGAGCAATGTGTGCAAATACATCTGTAGGCTGCAGGTGCATGCTGGTGTGTGTCTGTGACCTTTGTGCATGATCTTGCCTTTACTCTGTAAATCCCCACAGGTAGCCAGAGACGGTTAGGTATGCTGCGGACCGGCCAGCGCGCCGTCGCCGTGGCTCCTCAGGGGAGTGGCGACGGGACCGGCTAAGCAGGCACAGACGCTAGAGGGCTTGTTCTGCGGATTCCGGCTTAATATAGAACTTGGAGATTCGAAGTAGTCGAGCGCTCCTGGCAGCAGTAGTTCTCGCGCCTTGTAAACCCTAAAACCCCAATGCCCTAGACCCTAAACCCTAGAAAGTCAGAGGGAACTTCCCACGCCGAGCAAAGAATTGCCAACGCAGGGCGGAGATCTGCGGGAGCCTCAGAACACCTGCTGGCCATTGAGGGCACTATCAGGGAGAACGATGTATACAACAGAATAGATTTTTATGATATATGCGCTATATACGTAGTACAGAAATACTACATATGTCTGTACGTATATATATATATACATAAATTTTTTCGATGTATGATGTATTTAGTTCGGATGGACAGGCATGGCAGTTGCGGATGTAAACCTAATCATCATCGGAAGCAGTTCGGTCAAGCCGGTTAAGAGGCACTGCTACCAGACAAAAGGCTTTTTCGGGAATTGGATCCGGGCGCAGATACCAGTGTGAGAAAACGGGCGTGGCCGTGGAAGGCAGATCTTACAAAAAGCCGTTTGCGGTTTCCAGTATAGATGCATGCACCTGGTTCAACGGAAACCCTGCTGCAGAAGCAAAGACTAGAATTCTTTACCTGGGCCTCTTTTTGCTCTGTCCAACATTTCTCCTTCTCTCGTGGTGTCTAAACACCAGTGGGGTTCAACAAAGGCTGCTCTCCACACATGCTCGCGGCATGCAGCGATCGGCAGTCTGGGAGTACATGTGGTTACCAAGGCAAGTACAAGGAGCAGACCGGGCAGCACCGGAGGCAAATCGGATTGGAATGATTCGGAAAAGCTTTCGGGGGCTTATCAAGGAACAGCGTTGCAGGAAAAAGGGCTGGCCAGAGTTCTACCCTCGCTCTACCCTTTCTTTTGCAGATTCTGTGCAGGTGGCAGCCGCGTGGCTAGCAGGTCCATTTGCCAGCTGCGATACTCACTCTGCTCCTTTGCAGGGATGGCGTTGGAGTTCCGATATCCCGAAGGCTAAACCCTGATACCCGACACCCTAAACCCTTCTGTGAGTGCTGCTGTACTGGGATATGTTTTGTGTGGCTTTTACTAGCGGGAGGGTTTGGAGAGAGACGATTTCCGCTGCTCTCTGTAATTGGCCAATGTTCTTTCCGAGATACCACGCCAGCTTCTTCCCAGTTGCGAGTGCTGAAACCCTTCGTTGTCGCTGCTAAGCCCTTGTGCTCCTGGGAGTTCTTTTTGAGGGCTCAAGCCTGGAACCAGGCCCCTCAGTTGTAAATATTGCCGAGGTGGGAAAGCTGCAGATGAATCAGCAGAGCCATGCGCAAGCCGCGGTGTCCGGGCTTCGATGACACCACGAGAAGCGATAGCAATTAGGGTGACAGAAACAAAAAGCATAGAGCAATACTGAGTACAGGGTTGACATATAAAGGAATCTTCTAGTAGTGGGAAGGGATGGGAAGGGGAGAAACAGTCCGGACCCTGCATTGAGTTTTTTAGGAGCAGCCACCAGTGCGACATCCTGAAGTCATGAGCTTCATCCGCAGTGAGTCCTTCCCGCCAGGTGTTGGATCTTTGGATGGTTGGGGTCTTGGAAGTGCTGTAGTCTCCAACTCAAAGGGCTTAAACTGTTCGGCTTGTAGCGGGTCTTCGGGTTTTAGGAAGGGCCATTCAGGCTCCAAGCAGAAGTGCGAATTCGACTACCGCAGGTTTTCTCTTTCGATCCTTAGGAAGCAGATGCCTTCAGTGTTTGATGCGGCGCTGCGCAGAAGCTCAGCAGAAATTCAAGAGCATCAGTCCCTGATTACCGGTATTCCCCATGTACCACGGCAGGAGAACAGTGAAACTAGCAATATGTCCCGGAGCAAGTTTGGGGTCACTATCAGGAAAGTGACACAAAGCTTCGAGGTGTTAGTTCAGAATGCTTCCTCCTAAACCCCTAAACTCTAAACCCTAAAGCCTAAACCCTTTCAGATATCGAAACGTTTCACGAGTCAGCCGTACTGCCGAGCCGCCCGACTCGGCTTGATTTCACTCCCAAAGGGTCCAAGTACTAGTGGAGTATATACTCTCTGGGGCCCATATTAATTTCGATGCCTTTCTATCTATCTATCTGTATATATATATATATGTGTGTGTGTGTATGTACCTGTATGAATGAAACATATATCTGCATATATATATATATGTATATATATATATATTATGTCTACTAAGTACCTACTATGTGGGGACTTGAACCCTCTGGACTGCTCGCACCGAGCCTGTAATTAGATCATGCCCTCACATGAGAGACTCGGGCAAGAACTGGAAGTAGGCAGCGTAAATATCGGCATGCCGCAGAATCTGCTGTTCATATGCCTCGCTGGATTTCATGCACTGGGGCCTTCTGGGCGCCCAGAGTTGTCAGGGTTTTTGTATCGATAGCTTCCGGTATTTAGATCTCTTCATTTGGGCGTCGAGTCTCTTTGCCCCGAGCTGCCCCGAGCACATTTTCGTGTTCGTTCCGCCTGCGTGCGCTTGCCTACAAACCTACGAAGCGGCATGGAATGTTGGAGAGTGCATTTCGCTCAAAAGTTTCTCAGGATTCAGTTGACGGCAATCCATATATAGACGGGACTAGATTTACAGAATTTTTCAGCATGCCTACCTTACAAGTACGTGCCCTACGAAACTGTAAAGTTGACACGCTGCATATCCCTATCTCATGTTCTTGCCGTGACCACCGCCAGCAACTGAAGCTCCAGATATTATTTGGCAGGTTGCAGTGATGTACGATTGAGGCTTCTCAACAGCGACATGCCGTGCTATCAGATGTGGTCTAACGAAGACAGTGGCAGTGGAAGCCTCACCCTGGTCGGATTGGTTTCCTCGCGGAGTTTGTGCCAGCCAGGGGTCGCTGGCCAAAGGAAAACTCGCGGACTGCATTGCTGCCATGAATCGGTCGCACGAACACTTCAAGGCAAAAGTGCACGAGGCATTGCGGCATTGTGGCAGTAGCTCGCCGTGCTATCTGCTCAAAGCTGAATAGATATTGCCAGGGGACTTCACACTTTCTGCATGACTTCACTCCGTATTAAGACAAAATTCCGAAGCAGGTCTTGGAGCATCGCACCACTGGTCCGCATCCCGCTCATACACTGGGGCCTGTATCAGAGTGACCCAGCCCGCCATCCGTTAAGTGCAAAGAACATAGAGAATGTAGAGTACAATTCTACAGCCATGTGGCGGCAAGTCCGAACACCCCACATCTTTGCAGAAAGGCTTTGCCGGCTTCCTTTCGCTGTCAGGTCTGGTGTTGGGACACAGCAGTGATATCCCGAACGTCCGTGCTTTGTTGGGTTGTGCTTGTGTCTGTAGATCCCGGTGTTTGAAAAACGGTTGCGCAAGTTGCGGGAGTGGCCAGCTGCTCTGAACTCCACAAAGTGGGAACATGGGCCAAGAGTGATTAGCACTGCAATCCTCTCTGATGTCTCATACTTCAATTGCTTGAGGGCAATGGTGTTCCAGCCTCCTGTGTTTATTTATACTTCAATCACTGTCGGGGTCCTGTTTCTTTGACTTCCGGGGGCATGCTTGCTAGCTGCTCATCAGGATTTCTGAGTGAGCATCGGAGCATCACCATGTATGCTGCTGAGCAGACAGACAGGTAAAGGGTTGTCGCCCCAATTCAACTCCTTGCAGATCCTGGCAGAATGCATAGAACGAACCCTTACAATAGCCCTTATATAGGAACCCATTATAGTAGACTTAATCGCGGATTCTTCTCGTGACCTTTTCGCGGGTGCGGGATGGAAAGGATAGGCCTGGCCAGATGCGATTCTTGCTGTTGAAATTGATGGCTCACCTCAGGATCTCTTTTTGTCGGGTGTTTAGTGCTTGGGTGATCCTGCAACAGTTCTCGTCGAACTTCCAGGAAAGGAACCTGAACATTCATGAGAAAGCCTTACTTCCCCAAAATGGAGTGGCTGCAATGCGAGCAGTACAGTACATAATTCGCTGGAAGTTTCTTTCTCGGCTCCTCTATTCCTACGCCACATAAACCCCACGTTGGGATGATTGCGGGATGCTCTCTGTCGTGGCTCCGCGAAGCCCAAGTGTGGCACCGACGGACTTGGACGAGGCCTGCATGGCCCATACAGAGGGGCGTGTGGTGTCGAAGTTGTCGGCGCCACCACCTTGAGCAGTAGCACATGGCGTCGTGTAGAGTATTGAGATGACAGACTTCGCAAGTTAAAGCACTGCCATTGCGAAGGACAGTGACTGCCGAGAGGATGACGACAGCGGAGCCGTCATCGATATCACTTCTGACCCGGAGACTCCGGCACCTCAGAGAGAGAGTGGACCATAGGCAAGCCACGAGGAATTGACTTGCGAAGAGGAGAATGAGAAGACTTCCTCGCAGAGTGCTCAACATGATTGCAAAGATTAGGGCAAGTCGCAGAATCATTCCAATTCTGCTGGATCTGACTGTTGGTGTCGATGTCTTGAATAGAGGTCGTCAGCAAGACTGGACCCGTCATGCATCCTTCTGCCTTCCAACTGAGATGTGCAGGTCAAGAGGGTCCTCCGATGCGCTGAAGTCCCAACGCCGCCACCACTTCCTGCTAGGCCCGCAGAAGCACGAACATGGGGTCCTTGGCCTGAGATTGGCATGCTGCGAAGCTGCCAGGAGATCGGCGACCTTCAGCCACCTTCCACCCCACGAGGCACCTGAAAGTGCGATTCACCCGGCTTATACTGTTATGCTCTCGGCTTCGGAATTTGAGGCAGCTTGTTCACATGGCAAACGAATTGCTTCTTTTGCATGTAGGGCTATGTAGGCCGCCCAACAGCTTTCGGGGTATGTTGAAGGGTCCGGGTGGTTATGGGACTGTCAATACTGGCTGCCAGCCTCCCCACCGTAGACTTCAGCACCAACGAAATACATTGTGGAGCAGCATCAGCAGATGCAACGACGGCACGCAACACCGACGGCTGGTGTCGCTGCTCCTGCTGCTGCTACTGCCAATACGACACGTCGGCTTTTGCGTTGAAGTCTAAATGCCTAAGCTTTGCTTCGAGGTCGCAGCACCATGCAGCCGCCAGTCCAGCTTGCTGCTTTGGGCTCAATCGGCCGACGGCACGTCGAAGAGGCCTGGTTTCTTCCCTAACTGCGGGCTGTACTTCATGTACAATGAGGGAGTTAAAAGCATTGCTCTTTCCACACGGTTGCGTTTCCCCTCGATTGCCGCGGGAGAATGCCTCTGCCCATGCATTGCATCTTGGTACAAGATCTGCGCAGGCAGCCGACGGACGGTGTCTGACAACTTGACCTGGGACGTCATATTCTATCTACTGTGCCTTGTTGTTGCTACTGCTATTGCCTTGCCACCATCAACTGGCGGAGTTGAGTGTATGTTTGCGCCGTAGGTTTCCGGAACTAATCATCCGCGCTGTCACAATGGAATCTAACATAATGAGGAAGTCTTGGGCTTGTTATGTGTTGTTGTATTTAACTATTGAATCGTGTCGTGGTCTTCTTGGTGGCCTTTCTGGTTTTCACCGCTTAGACCTATGGCGCAAGCGCCGAAACCATAACATACAATCCTAAACCATGGTTAAGCCCTAGGCCCTATAAACTTCCCCAATACCATTATACCAGCTAATATATATTCAACATGTTGAAGATTATGCAATACGCCCCGCATTGCCTGAAGAGGCCTCGACGCCTGACGGCACAGGAGGCCATCGCACGGCGCCGGGAGAGGCGCGAGCGCAACGCCGACCTCAGGCGACGCGGCACTTTTTGGGGTTTGGGTTTAGGGTTTAGGGAAAAGGGTTTAGGGTTTCGTCGTGGTGGTGGTAGTGGCAGAAGCAGGAGTGGGGGAACGCACTAATACCACCGACCATACCATCGCAAGGGGCTCCGCGGAATAGCCACGGTAGTATAGACTAAGAGCAGAAAGACTTCTGGGATGCCTCGGAGGATTATGGGTCTTGGATGTTTGGTGTGGTGTAAGGTCTACAGGCTGAATCGTACATGATGGGCCCTGCAGGGCTGGTTATAGAGGTTGGGGTAAATGATGAAGGAAATTGACGTCTGGCACTTGTAGCGATCGCAGTGAGAAGAATCATAGCACGGAGGTTATCAATCCAGGCTGCGGCAGTCTGCAAACTACACACGTTGTTTTTTTGCGGCAGTGGCCGCTGCATCAACTGCCCAGCGAATATCTGCCACCTCCACCGCATGCAATCTCCAAGTGTCATGCGGCTTGCTTTGCTTCTTGCCGGAGTCTCCCTAAGAGCCAAGCAGTTGTCAGGGGCCAGTCCTTATGCTTTGCGCCTTGAGCTCTGAAGCCCGAACCGTGGTGTTCTCAGTAGTATGTCGCCGGATACTTGGCTCGTACGCACCCAGGGTGCCCCCCAAAGGGTTCGGCATGATAGGCGTGCTAATGCAACAACGTTACCCCAAATTTGACAGCACCAGTTGTCCCTTCAAGGCATTCGCTGAGTTGATGCGGATGTGGACACAGTCAGATCTACTGTGTATATATATATATATGTACACACACGTATATATATATATATATATATATTTAGCTACATAGGCTTGGGAAAATACATAATCACACATATATACATATATGATCATATATGTCATATGTATATACACGCAGGCATACGTAGGCATGTCGAACTAGATCTAGGTGTGTGAGTGTCTATATGTATTGAACGTATACATTATGTATCTTTGTATAAATGCGGAATAGTTTGCTGCTCTATACAAGTATATAATCCGGATGCACTTGTTTGTGCATGTGTGCACACACACATATATATATATATGTGTGTATATATATATATATTTATATTTGTATACATACAGATACATACATATATATATATGTATGTATGTATGTATGTATGTATGTATATGCTTACAATCATGCATACAGTCATACATGCATACACCATACATACAAACATATACACAACCGGCTTTCTCCAGTCAGGCTGACGCACGTTTCAGTGTTGATAATGGCTGTATTGGCTGCGCCTGCAGATCCGGAGACCGGCCCCTGCCACCTCCTGTAGTGGGCTACGATGCCTGCATAGAGCGGCTGTGCATGAAGACGGAAGCCGCTTGGCGATGAACTTCTTTGGGTTTGTAGCATACTAGCACCGTCAAGGTGCCGCGGTGTTTATGCCATGCATCATTGGACTTGTTTTGGGTTCAAAACTCGGTGTCATTCTGTGGCCATTCTTGTGCTGGTCGGTCGAACCGTGCAGCGGCACTGACCCAAAAACCGTACAGATGAGATCTGCAAGTGCTCGACGAGGTCAACGGCGAACGGATAAAGCTTCAACCGTATAGAATGCAGAACGGATGCTTGCTTCTTACCACAGGGTTTTCGGTGGAGGCCCCAACATACCCGGACATGTTAAAATCCTCTTTGAGTTCAGAGGCAACACCGCAACCCCAACCGACCGCCTGGCTTGCCCACCCGAGTATAGCAACCAGGTAGAAGGCATGGACGTCCAGTTCCCAGTTCAACCCCTCGATGCGCAACGTCTCGTCATGGCGGCGGCTCTGCGTGCCATGAGGGAGCGGAGCGTGGCCTTCGTGGAAAGCCCCACAGGTTTGGTGGGAGGGTTTCTGTTGGGGTTCGCTGCGCCGGAGCTTGAATGTCCGAAGCGTGGAAGAGATCTTATAGGAATGCAGCTGGATCATGTACATTCAACTTGTCATACATCTTTCATACGCCCTGCATAGCTGCTGCCGTGAGCTTGGGACGCAGACCTTCTTCCTTACCTGGCAAGGCACCGGCAAGACCCTGGCTTTGCTGTCAGCAAGCCTGGCCTACCAGCACTTCCAGCAGAAGTCTGCCGAGGTCTCGTTGGGGAGCTGCACGGGCACAGGCGAAGTAGCGATGGTAGATGATGGCATGCGTTCGTGACAAGTTCGTGACGGCACGAAAGCGTCCTAACCTGCAATGCATAAGCCTGCCTTCTAAGTTTTCGGCCCATGTATGGCAAAGCACCTCATGTTTGGGGTTTCCGCAAATGCCGATCCAACATGCAATGAGGCGCTTGTGAAGAGGCTGCGGGCTATTTAGGCTGTCTTCAAACGATTACATGTTGCATCTGCATGTGGTCAGGCCTATTCTGCAAGTACATGTTGGATGAATGTTTTCCTGTGCGAAGATGTGAACACACACACACACTTATATACATACATATATATATATACATATGTATGTAACAAATATGAATATATAGATACATATAATAAATATATATATATATATACATATATATAGAGAGAGACAGAGAGAGCGAGATTCAGACAAGACAGCATTAGCACAGTATGTGTTACATGTACGATTTGCGAAACACTGTACATTATATGCTAGGCCCGCTACTCATGAACGAACGGATCTATTCCGCAGTCTTCAGTGGGTCCCAGCCCAGCAGTTTTACGCCGCGCATATCCGCAATGACCGACAAGGGCAAGGGCAAGGGAAAAAATAAATCACTGCCGGACACAATAAGCGTTTACGTCAAGTGGTGTCCGGAGACGAAAGAGCTCTTTGACAATTATCGGATAAGGTGGAATGAGGAAGAGTTGGTGATCATGCAATTTCCAGACGTGCCCGTCACCATCGAAGACATGGGCAGTTGGATCGAGTCGCGTGTGGAGAGGATTTATGAGCTCTCGACACAGGGAATGGACAAGATCATGGTGCAGTCCCAGTATCTGACAACAGCTTACAGACCAGACAAGTATCTTCCCTGGCAAGAGCCAGCACACAGATACTTCAGAGATGGCGACGTGGTGATGGTTCAGTGTCAGGCCATGTCAGCACAGCAGAGGGATCCTTTCACAAAGGAAGAGATTGAGACGTTCAAGAAGTCGCTGCGCTTCGAGCAGGGCGATCGCGTGCTGTGCAATTGCGGCCAGCTTTGGATCTCCGGGTGGATTGTCGGCACGGCAGTGGAAGACGATCAAGACCTTCTGCCGTATGTCGTCAAGACAGACCCGATTCCAGGCTTGCCTTCGAGGACAATCTCCGTCCCACATGACCGCGACGAGGTTTGTGTCCAGGAGGTGTGCTTCAACCCCAGTTCCGAGCTGCACTTCGTGAAGTGCGCCGCCACACGGTTGGCAGGCTCTGCAAAGCCACAACTCCGATTCACTGAGGGCGACAAGGTAACCGTTCGCCTCAAGAACGGAACGGATGGACTCGAACGCTGGGTTTCCGGATGTGTGACTGATTTGTGGCCTGCCTTACCCGGGAAGCTTCAGTGGGAGATCGAGGGCGTCACCGGGGAGTACCCTAAAGAGGTGCCATATCGAGTGGACCTGTCGCCGCTTGGCTGGTGCTTCGTGCACAGGGATGACCACACACTCATCCGCCGCGAGGGTCTCCAGCCACAAACCCGGGTGAAGGGCACCTTGGTTGATCCACTCAATGTTTTTGCTCTTTTTTAGTGTGGGATAGCGTGGGTTTCTGGAATTTTGGGCAATGGAGAAATAGGGAGCCCATGAGCACTGTCCTCTTTCTCTTCCTTCCAAACAGAAACCCAGGCATGAGCAAACGCCTCGAGGTGATAAGATGCGAGGACGGCAGCCGGGAACAGGTCGACCATCAGACGGAGCGTCGCAAGCGGATGCCGCAAAGCAGCCTTGACGATATTTCAGACTCGGACGATGATGTCTAGGAATCTAGCAGTTAGAGACAGATATGCTCGGCAGACAGCGAGGGGTACTAGTCGTTTCACTCGGCCTAAAGCGCACATTTTTCGCAGCAGCACAGGTTTGTGCGCAGGCAGTCAGAGGGGTCTTAAGTTCAGTTTTCAAGACAGGAACAAATTTTGAATTAAGTGCACTCTGATTTATCTCTCTCCCTCTTGCTTGCAAGCTTTATTTGTAAGCTTACAAATCCTGCCGCCGCAAGACTACGACGTTCCCCGAAGCCTGAAGACAACTCTGAGCCTTCCGACAAGCCAAGCTGTAGCAAGCGGGAGTGAATGGCCAAGTGTGGGCATCCGGTGTAAGAGCTTTACTGCTGTGGCAATACACTGCAGGGGTAAGGATTCATTGGACTCACACCAGAGTCGCAGCATGTCACGGCTACTGCCACCAAGATCCAGCTCGATGGAAAAGAACTGATACTGGAGGGATTTGGTGTGTGTGTGTGTGTCTCCGCGTGTATGTGTGAGCAGGACTGTTCGGGACAACAGTAAGTTGCACCTGCGGCCGCTGCAATGGACGGTAAACAGCAGGCTCAGGCGAAAAGATTATCGAGATGATATGTTTAAGTCCTGAACCATTCGATTCTCGACCGTCACCGTGAACCGAAATTAGTATCGGGGATACCACTTTCTTCGGTAAATTGTCGTGGGGTGTAGATTACCTGTTTCGCTGCAACTACTTTGCTTCCGTATGATAGGCCAATGATCGGGTTTTAGCTACTCGCCATCTCCGGCCAGAAATCAACAACAAGCACTCATCAATGTTGAAACGTCCTTTCGCTCCAGCATTCAACCCAGCAGTCAGAACAGTCAGAACCGTCCGTGAGTCCCACCGCAACCCGAAGTTAAGAGCCAGAATCTACCGGCCCTTCACGCCTGTGGTCCAGGGAGTGGGCAGCAGCGAAGGCAACGCGAAGCTGGGCTGCAGTTGACTTCATGCCAAGCCTCCGTGCACACAGTCGTCAGCACTCCTCCTGGTATTCCACGTAAGCTGTGCGTTTACTTGTTCTTGCTCCAACGTGCGAGTCACTTTCTCTGCTCTGGGCGCTTTAGCCACTTTAGCCTGTCGGACAAGGCATGTTCCCAGAGTTGTCTGGATTGCGCGGACGCACGACCAGACGCTCGTCTGCTAATGATGGCGGCTCTGAAACCCTCAGATGTTCGACAAGCAGGTCCTTATTCAACTGAAGCACCACCAAGGACCGAGCCAGCCCCCCTGCAAGGTTCAAGCACAGAGTAGCGATCGCGCATGTGCACAAAGCGGCTGTCCGGACCAGTGAATGTTCACCGCAGATCCCTCAAAGAAGAACAAGTGATGGACACAGACAGAGAGCGGCAGCAGCAGCACAACAACAACATCAACAACAACAACAACAACCACAACCACAACCACAACGACCACGACCACGACCACGACCACGACCACGACCACGACAACGACAACGACAACGACAACGACAACAACCACCACCACAACCACAACCACAAGCACAACCACCACTACTTCTACTATTACAACTACTGCTAGTACGAGTAGTCTACTAGTAGTCGTCGTCATAGACGTAGTGGTGATAGTAGTAGCTGGAGTAGCAGTAGCAGTAGCAGTAGTAGTATTAGTACTAGTACTAGTACTAGTACTAGTAGTAGTAGTAGTAGTAGTAGTAGGAGTAGCAGCAGGAGTAGTAGTAGTAGTAGTAGTAGTAGTAGTAGTAGTAGTAGTAGTACGAGCAGCAGCAGCAGTAGCTGCAGTAGTAGCAGTAGCAGCAGTAGTAGCAGTAGTAGCAGAAGCAGCAGCAGCAGCAGCAGCAGTAGTAGTAGTAGTAGCAGTCGTCGTCGTCGTCGTAGTAGTAGTAGTTGTTGTTGTTGTTGTAGTGGCAGTGGTAGTAGTGGTAGTAGTGGTAGTAGTG